GCGCCTCTTTTTTTCTCTCTCTTCCCAACTTTCTCGACGAACTCGCGCGGAAACGCTTGCTACACAGGCTCAAAATTTGCCTACTTTTAGCTCACTTTCCAGTCACTTTTTCGAAGAAATGTAAACCCAACATAGATTTGAATACTTCATTAACCTATTTTTAAGAATGCAGACAAAAGAAAGTGATTATAAATTCATTAAGTATGCGTAGACGTAACTTTATTTTAAACACTTTGTTAAAACGCTCTGATAATACACTGATATACAAATACACTGATTTCGAGGAAGATGAAAGAAGCAACGCATGTATAGACTGTGAAATCCTCGGAGAAAATGTTTTAGCTGTGTTGATATAGTTAAAGATACGATTTTTAAATACTGTATCCTATATATTATTTCAAGTCAGGGGGGGCCTGTTAAAAGTAATTTACGCGCCCATACATGTATATTGCTTTTAGCTCGGTAAACCAATTTAAAATCAAAGCTAAAGAGAATGTCAAACTTTCGGAAGTTAATGTCAACAGGAAAGAATCTACCTACAGACGCGTTTTAAGGTTCTTTCTTCATTTATGTACCACTTTTTGGTTTTGTAGAAATTTCACGCGACTGCATGAAATCTTGAATATAAGTGATTCGTTTTACACCAGTTGATTTTTGTCGAATACATGTGCATTTATTTTTCTTTAGGGAACTGTTGTTGTTACATTTTCAGTTTAAACAGCTGAGGGCTAAAATTATTCGCACTGTCAACAATGTCCTTACTTGTTTGCAATATCATTTTCCAAAAGGAAAACTTGGAAGGTTGAAAATAATTTTGTATCACAAAAGTTTGCAATTCCTTAAAAGAAGCCGACCACAGAGAAAAACAAAATCAATTAAAAAGAAATTTATCTTAATGGCCGAGCCGAAAAACAGATCCCTCAAATCCGATTGAGAAAGAGATTTCCGAAATCTGAATATTTGAATTTTAATGTCTTTGAAGAGCATCCAATACGGTTTCCATTATGTTATATTATGGCGTAGATGTGGAAAAGCAAATCCTTTTTTATGGATTTCAAATTCAACGTTTCCTCCGAGGTTTAAAAGTCGCTATTATCGGAAAAAGGAATGCGTTGATGGACGATGCAATCTTCGAATAAGGACAGATGGAATTCACTTCTTGTTTGTTTAAATGGATTTTAATGATTTTCCATAATAATTTCAGTCTAACAGTCCGTGAGAAAAACACACTATGTTCGCTTTGAGTTTGTCCTTTAAAATTCTCACGGCCTGATCGATAGCTAGCTGATAAAAGCGTACAAAGCAGGTTAAGACCTCATTTGCCGACTGCTAGACAGCTAGCGTTTTCGATTCGCGCGCGCTCTGTTCGTGCAGTTCATGTTTTCTTCTCAATCCTTCGGCCTCGTAAGGTTTGTATATCTTGACATTATTTAACTTTTTTTTCGTTTCATATCTACTGAATTTACTGTTTACTCTTGCTCTCGGCAGAGGTTCGCTTTCACTGGTACAGAAATATCTTGTTTCATTTAACTTCAAATCTCTTTTTACATGAAGTCATGTGCTTGATCGATTCATGAAGATCAACAAGACCATGTATGAAAAGAATACAGCTAAAAGTTACATGATGCGTTTTTATGTCCGTCACAGAAATACAAAAATAAGTGACAGAATTAAACTGTGAAATTGTACATTTTTGTACGGATTTCAGAAAAAAAATTCTCATTTAATTTCTTAGGCTTAGAAGCAAGTAATCCTCTTTCTAAACCAGTTATCAAAGACACTAGCAACACATTTACTCATAAGGTATTATTTGAAATTTTCCATTTCGAAACCCATTTGTCAGCTCGTGTCAGAAAGGATTCCCATAAATTTACCTCTGACAGGTCAAAGGGAAGAGGCTTACGCTAAGAAAAATGCTTTCATCGTGATTCATTCAATGTTGGAAGATCATTCCTTGCCTTGGGCAAAGTACTTTTTTGAGTTTTTATTTCTATTCGCGAATAGTAGCTTTAGTAAAGTTACAGCTGCAGTGGTAACACGCAACGCATGGACATTATTCATTCAACTAGAATCACTTTAAATTCCACTCGTAAAACAATTTGAACTCAAGGCGAAATGGACATTATTCAACTAGAATCACTTTAAATTCCACACATAAAACCATGTCGCCTAGCGAAAAACTAAAAAGCAGTTAATTGAATTTTTTAAAGAAATCGGTGAGTATTAGAAACATCCAATGTATTCATCCTCAAGAATATTAAATTAAAAGCTGAAAAAACATTCGGCAAAAACAGATTGAACATAGCCAGAGCAAAACCTACACGAAAACCTTATTCAAGGCTAATTTTGAGAGACTGTGTTGTAGTCAGGTCTGTAGCTATTAACAAAAACAACAATTTTACCAAGAAGTTAAGATATTTTGTTAGCTGTTGCTATGACCGCAAATTAAATCGTAAAATACTTTATTTGCAGGGCTTGAGAAACATTCCTTATCGCTTACACGAATTAACACAATACAAAGATTTAGTTTGCGAGAACCAAACTATTTTGTGGACTGAACCTCATCGTCAGACACCGTAAAAAATAGGGGAAATTTTTCACCAACAATTCGCAAAGAAAAGCAAATCTGTACTTAATACTTCAACGAAAAACTGGAATAATTTAAATTCCATTTTTCTCGCTTTGTCTCCTAGAGAGAAAGTGTTTACGCTTCCTTGAATTAAAGAAGGAATATTGCTCGAAGCAAAAGAAGATTCCACAAAGTGAAACTTCAACAAATACAGAGAGATTTCGGCTAAGTAATTTACTGCATGGTTGTAATTTCCCTGAGGTATTGATGATACCGTGTTTGAGGGCGAATCAAACTAAATTTAACATTCCTTTAAAAAAAAAAAACATTTTTATTGGATCGCTTATACCGTATGATTCCGATGTCTGTAACAATGAATTATAACATATGGGTGATATTTTTTCTTTGTAGGTGGACAAGACAGTTAGAGAAGGCCGATCGCTGTGGCAAAATTTTTCTTTGTACTTCTGTTATGACTAAGTTTGTGCGTAAGATAATTTACTAGAGAACTGAGTTAAAACTTGACTTTGGATTCTCCCCTTACAAAAAGGAAGGTGTTGCTATCTAAGTTTTTACTCGGTTTATTCACAGTAGTTAAGTTATTCACAGCTTAACAAATTAATTCGCAAATAAAAAGTTCACGGAAAACAAATATATTCCCTAAAATCGAATCGGCTCATAATGCAATCACGTTGGTTCCTCGATAATTGTTGTAAACTTTTCTCTTATAGTTTAGATGAACTTTATTATAATATTATATTCTTGTTATTCCGTGGTAATGTTTGAAGGAAGAGCCTTAAAGAAATAAATTGCACATTGGCTTCAAGAAACATCTCGGAAAACAATTTCCGATAACTCTTGAATATTTCATTACTTTTTAATCCTACTGCCATTAATAAGAGCTTTTTGACGGTAGGAAGTCGGCTTATAGTAGTCGCATTTCAGAGTTTTATGCAAGGATTTAAGGGGTTTTTTTTATTACTCTCTTCAAGTTTTAATCACAAAATGCAAATAGATCGCTGCGCTTAAAGAGGAAGGTGTTGAACAGTAGGACGACAGCTTAGAGCCGCGAGATATAATTGAAAAACAAATTTACCGTGGATTTGAAACAATGTTGATCGACGTCAATATATCATTCTGCAGTTAGCATTATATCAACAAAATAGCAAACATCAGTCACTGATGAGCCTAGTTTTAAGGTGTCAGTTTTAGAAAAATTTTAAGACAACTACCATTGATGTAAATTTCTTGCTGAGCGCAACATCGGAGACACTGACGAAGACTTTAAAATAAATCTCTATAATTTATCAAATCACAAATCATTAGAGGTTTGTAACTTCTAAAGGTTTCCTTAAATTGAGAACGAATAGACAAAAAAAAAATGAATGAAGGAAATAGCCTTTTATTATACTATCTTCATGGACATCGCAGCGATTTGTACAAAAGGATAAATACATTTTAAATATTGTCAGCACGATCTCTACTTAAGAACAACCTCTGTCTCGCTGGTTTCTTCGTTCAGACAATTAATGTGTTTGTAAAACAATTTCCACAAAATATTGTCAATCGCAAATCATCCCGTAATGCAAGAAAGTAAAAGAAGGTATAAGATTATTTCTACCACGCTTGCATAAGGACAGGTCACAACCAACAACAAAAAACGCTTGCTGATTATTAAAAGTTTGTTATAAACCTGAGATGTTTTGCCGCAAAATATCACACCAAAGAATCAAAATTGAAATTGCCTCTATTCTGTTTTGTGTCAAAAATCATCTTTGGCATATGTGCTGTTCCCACGGTACAGAGAGTTTTTAAGCAGCTGGAGTACGGAATTAAACAAACAGTTATTAAGAAAGAATGCTTTAATTGAGCCGTGAGCCGTCTCTTTATTTTGTACGTAGCATTTAAAACGCATTAGCATATCATGTATTTGTGTTCTCCGGAGCGTTTGCCTTGACAAAAGACGGAGATGACACGATGTATCGCTTGTATAGAACGCTCTTTCCTGCTCTAAAAACGCAAGGAAGCAAAAGGAAAGATTGTATATTTAAATCCATCAAATAAGTTAAAAGCCATTTCAGTGTAAAATCTAAATGAATTTTCGACGACTATCTTCAAATTTTTGAGCGGTCACTAAGGAGCAAAACTTCAAAAACGCGCTGTTAAGTTCGTCTATAGTTTACTTTGACAAATTAAGTCTCCATATTCGGCATTTTCAACGGACTTTTCCTCACTTTTGTATTTAGACAGCGGGAGTAAACTTAATGAATCAAAACCAATATCAGCTTGAATTTTTTCGTTGAAGAAAACTAACAAAGTATAGACACACAAAATATATTCGCTGAAATATATAAGAAAAAAATTGCAGATCGTATTATCCCCAAGTTAAACATAACTTTTCAATTTTCTAATTATTCGACGAGTTGCGATCTTTATTTTCATGAATTATGGTTTTTTATTTCCAGACTGAGAAACATAGGACACCGTTAATTATTTTGTCATTAGGGAAAATAAACATAGTGAGAGGATTTCTCGGGCCCACGGTTTAAGGAAAAAAATCCTCTCAACAGAAAATTTTTTGCCCAACATAAAAGCTAAGCTTTGGTTTTAAACACGTACTACATCTTTTTTTGTTTTGTGAGTGAAATACGTTATCGCGACTGTCGTTGCAATTGTTTTATTCAAATGAAGTCACTCTTTTACACTTTCTTATCAGAGATACTGATACCGCGATTGTAACGTCAGTAATTACTTCGCTATTTTCTCGCGAGGTTTTAATTATTGCCTGGAGTGAATTTACATCCGCTCAGAATAGAACGTAATATCACTACCTCCGCTGGAGATGTCATTTGTTAATAAGGCTTTGTTTTGTTTTTAGTGCGAATTGCAGAGTTAAAGTAATGTCTATATGTACCACTTCAGGCCAATCTGGAGAAAGCGGTCAACACTGCTACCTCGATCAGAATAATAGACATCGCTTTGAAAAGTCACAGAATTTTTTCGAACACCAGAACAAATACTGTAAGCGTGGCACAAGAATACTTGAACGAAAGCAACGCAAATCATTCGTCCAAAAATTTCGGTAGCTCTTCTCGTTGAGTTTTGTCTTAGATGATCAAGTTTGGTCGCAAAAATGTCAGGAAAAAGATCATGAGTTTTAGAATAGTTGTAACCTTTGGCCCCAAATTAAAAATAATAGAATAATTTGTATGTATTTTAATCTTCAAACAACAGCTTTTTAAAAGAGTTCGCTAGGCAGCACGTGGCCTTGAAGTTTGAAGCGATACTAAATAGTAAAACTGATTAAATTTTAGTGTTAATTTGCTTCAACCACGATAACCTGTACTGTTAGGTTTCTTCACAGTGTTTCAGTAAAATATCTTCAAGCTGAGGCATTGGAAATTTAAAATTTGATAGAATCAAAACATAGGAAATCTCGAACGGTACGTTCACTTCATTTTTCACGAAAACGAGCGAAATCCGGTTAACTTAAGAACCGATTTATAGTCTGTTCTGTGAAAGGATTTTGTCTTTCTTAAAGTATAAAAGGCGTGAATATCTCGGAAAAACGGTAACTTTTCCTGTAAGAAAAGTGTCTTTCATCTGACAAAACCTCAAATTTCAGGTTTAATGAAGCAATTTTGAGCAGTGGAAAAGCGATCATCGATCAAAGAGGAAACCAGGCCGGTTTTCCATTACTTAGAAATGTTCCACCGCCCACTATCTTCACCGTGTACTGTCTTTTTCAACAACGCTCGCTACAATCTGACGCTCGGAGATAAAACGATACTACAGTATCTCATCTACAGCAGTTAATTAAATATTCATGCCTTGATGTCCGCGTTTGCCGCAATATCGCTTCTACCTAAAGATTTAACTCACTGCGACAGAGCGTGAAAATAAGGTTTGGGGGATGACAGACTTAGTATTCGTTCATCGCAGCGGTGGTCTTAACACAAATTTCACGCCTATGTGTTTATCACTTGCACTTTTTTGAGATTTCGTTCAGTTTCTCATTTATAACGCATGCGCAAACCTTTAGGTTTTCGCGAAACTCCTTTTCTAAAGCAATCTACCTTCTTTTGGGGAAAAATGTTCTACAAGTGCGACGAGAAAACTGGCCTGAACAAGTTAGACACGCGTTTTTACTCACTTGCGCTCTGGTTAACAACTTAATTTGAATAAAAAATGAAAAAAATGACCTTTTTGCATAAATTTGCGGCATTTTTGTTAAAGATTTAGTGGTTTTGAGTTTTGTAACCAGGCGGCTGGGAGAGTTTTGTTCTCCTCTAAATATACCATTTGTAAAATAAGTTTATTGTGACTTGTTGTATCAGGCAATGATAAAATTTGCCTGTTTAGCTAATTAACCACGCTAAACGTGCTTCTTATGTTGTGTTTTTTTGGCAACTTCTAAAAGCTTTTTACAAGCAGTGGTCAAATGTGTTGACATTATCAGAAAACAATACTTTTCCCTTTACATCATTAATTAATATAGTTCACACAACAAATATATTTCTTCTACGAAGTACTAGATATTTTCTGCAGTTAGTAAGCAGGGCTTGATGGGTGGTTGTTACTCGAATAAGGGGGTCTTCCTTGAGGTGCAAATCTCAACCGTCAATCTCCAAACTCGCCATGTCGGTCCAGCTACACTGATTATTCATTCATGGTTTATTTTTAAGCCTAAAAACATCTGCTTCTCCTATTTAAATCTCTTCAAACAAAAGAAAATCGTATTGACTGCATGGCGTGGGTAACACCTTTAATAAAGGATACAAGTCAGAAAGAGTTCTCCTCGCGCTGGGATCATGCTTGCTCGGCGTGACAATGAGGCTAACCATGGGTGCTACCTTCAAGATACCGTTGGATCTATCCTTACATGTCCGATCCCCAATAGTAGAGAATTCTGCCACAAACAGATTGCATGCAACCGATGAATTAGCAGAGAGACGTTGACAATTGAAACAAAGATGTGAAAGGGCCAAATAATTGATCTTGGCTCAGGTCTGCTAATACAGGGCGGGCTATACAAAACTCATGTGTCGTGTCTTGACCAATCAGCTTTCGTCTCCACAGGGTAGATATCGAGCAGTGTCTTAATGAAAAAAAGAACTATTCATTTCTCGCAGGTTGCTACCAATTGTGTAAATCTTCGAACGTGTGCTCGCATAATACCTGTCTTCTTATTCTAAATGGGACTTCTCTTGGAAATAGCTCACCGCAGCTGTCTCTTGTTCTGTTAACAATACTCTTTCCGCAGCTGTGGAAAAATATCGACCACGGACTCAGCAACGGGATGGCAGTTTGCGTTGAAAGGATTGTGCCGTTACAGGAACTTACAAGAACCACTTGACCGTTTCCCTGATACGAGCTCTGTGCACCAATATTATCGCCTCATATCTCCCTGATAAAGCTTATAACACGTTTAGGCATCATGCAAATACACGTATCAGGTCTTGGGGATGATATTCACACCACTGGACTAATAACTCGTTTGTCTCGCATAGTCTGGGTAATAAAATATAATACCTGTTGAAGGTAGCTTGTTTATAACATAGCAGTTATCAACCTGTTACCTGAATTGTAGTGGAGCTTAACAAACCACGCCAGATCGTTTGCTTTGCCCATCCCACTTTGGAATGCTGATGTGTACCATGTAACAGAACCACGTCATGTTGTGGTTACCTAAGGGTGGGGGGTGTGAGCCGCTTAAACGATTTGCTACACAAATGTTTCATGGTTGAAGCAATGAAAGTGCAAACACGCATACACGTGTGGGGAAAGCTCAAATCAATCGATAAGATCAAACGCTCTGTGCCAATGCTCCACGTTTACTCTTAGGATACACGACAAATAAACCTCAATGTTTCGTCTAATGGTGCCACAAGGTCTGAGGTTGCTAATAAAACCTCCCAGCATCATTGATACTTGCTACAACAGAAGACCTTAGGAAATCTGATAACGTTGTTGTATTAACAAGACAAATGAGGATACGTGCTTATCTGCTAGCTTTATGCTCCAAAAAGGCCCCAGCATCGACCTTTTGAAGTTTGAGCTTTTGAGCATGGTGCTATTTTTTCAGCCGAATGTGTTAAACATGCTCATTAATTTTTCATTTGCGCGTAATTTTAAAGGCACGAAAAGTCAAGCAGGCTATGCTAATGGAGTTCCCCTTCACCAAGATATAGAGCACACTCTTTTGTTTAGCTCTACTTGCAGTGCTAAGAAAGACAGTTTAGCCACAACACGAATTGTGTTTTCCATAAATTTACTTATCAAAGAGATTAAGAAACTTAAAATCGTTCACAATAACACAGCAGTAATAAAGTTTTCGATGCATTTTTAATATCCAAATTCTGTATGTTTTGCCTGGAGAAAAATTTACAAAAATGTCTTACATAAACCCACTGTGGTTTTGTCAAATGTGATTTCTTTGTTACGTATTTTTTTTTGGAAAAAAAAGCGAGGAGGCGACGAATCCCTGTCCAAGATTTCTTCGTACGATAATACTCTGTTTGTTTCTCAATTAAAATATGTTACAATATATCTCCTCGTCGATTTCCAAGCTAGTTATTAAAAAATAATTCTACTTCTGTTAAAATACAATTACAGAACACCCTTTTCCTGCCTTGATGATATAGCATAATATAACAGCATTTTCTCTCCTCACAATGGCGAAGGAAACATAGTATTGTTATGGATTCTTGGATCTTCGGGGGTCCAAATTTTCGCCTTCATGATACTTGAGTGAAGTTTAGGTTTCTTCGAATCAGTCCAAGATAGAGAATGTCCTGTTAAAGGGGGAAGACCGTACTCTTGATTACCTGTGAGAAAGGAAACGAAATGAGCAAACATGAAATATATAAATAAAAGAAATGAAATTCAAAAACTGTCTGCGAATGTTGATTGCCGTTTGCGAGTCTCTGAGAGTAAGATCGGCTTGCTGTTTGAGGATTTCCCAATTGGAAAAAAATGCATGATTTTCCTCTATTTTTAAAGTTATAAAATGCAAAGGAATAATTTCAAAACGTCATTTTATTCAATATCCAACAGCACCGTACATGTGAGAACAGCCCAGATGCGCCCAAAACCCCTACTAACATGACGCTTTAAGGGAAGCAAACTCAAAAAACTTACCGAAACCGCGGTGGCAGATCATAACTTTTCTTGGCTGTTCTGAGGACGTAGGCTGTAAAGCTTGGCTGTGACTCATGTCGGAACTGATCATTTCCGTAAGAAATCCAATGTAGCCAATAGCAAGCCGTAGAGTATCTACCTTGGACAGTCTTTTCTCGTAAGGCAGTGTAGGGATGTGATGTCGGAGCCCCTCAAAAGCTTCGTTTATGCTTTGCATGCGTTTCCTCTCGCGTAAATTTGCTGCGTGTCTTTGCGCTATCTGCTGATTTGGGGATTTCCTGCGCCGCTTTCGCTTCAAGTTCTTGTCGAGAGGCTCAACTGAAGTGTAATGAAACTGGCTTGTCATTTGGGACTGGTTTTCCCGGAACGAGATTGGACTTTCCATCTGTTGGTGATTAAGATTTTCCTTCGGGAGACTCACTGACCATCAAAGATTTTCGAGACTAGTAATAGCTCGGTAGGCGCACGTTTCCAACGTTTCGACCGGCTTATAGCCACTTTTAGGCTCAGAACCAGCCAATCAGAAGGCAGAAAGCAAAACCAATTATTTGATGCGAAGTTGTGTCACTCTCCATTGTTTGAGGTATCCTGCCGACTACAACTAAGTGTAAGTTAGGCGTTAAATGAGACCGTGTAAAGACTTATTTTAGGACACAGGAACATATTCGGTTTGATTTTCGAAATTCTAAACGTGATTTTCAAAATACCGCGAGTGCACGGCGGACACAGTTGTAGAATTGCTCGACGCGTATTGTTTTCTATACATGAAAAGCTCAACCTTAGTTTATTGAATTGTCCTTCTTCGGTTCGAGTTTCTTTCTCTCTGTAAGATGTTTGCATCTCTTTAAGTATCATGGAAAAACAACAACTATGCCAAAATGTGATGTACGAAACGAATCGATTGCTGCTCGCTCTTCGCAAATAAACTTCTCTAGCGGAAATATCTAAGTGTGCCTAAATAAAAAGGTGCTTTATAAGGTCTCTCTACAAGAAAAAAACATGGCCTTAGGTTAAAACGAGAACAACTACGAGGAAATAAAGCGATTCAATATAAAATATTTTAATGCTAAAATTGTTTCCTCTCTACTGGCGCGAAAATTCACATCATTCCGTCCTGACGTCATCGGTGATAACCAAAACAAAGGAACTCGAAAGAAAAAAACAAATGTTGATTCGGAGTCTAGAATTATGAACTCTTCATTGAACACGTTTTATCGCCTCAGTCAATTTTCTGAAGTCTGTAATGATACTTTTCTAAGTGGGTTTTGGCCAGTCCCACAAAAGATCTTGTTCGATAAGCCATTTCGTTGCATTAAATTAGGTGCCGAGGTGTTAAAAATGAGCTTTGTATAATTAGTAGATTGTATTAAATGGTAAAATATCCCGTCAATTGTTTCCGGATAATGTTGTTAAAGGAACGCTGTTGTTACAGCGAAGGCAAAAGGAGTTGATTTCATTCGATGTGACGCGTTTTATATTATGCGTTTAAGGGCGAGTTGTCATTCAAGTTTGAGCGAACGCAACTTGACAACGAAAGCGAATGTTTCTTTTTTAGTTTTCTAATGACAACAAAAGCACAACGCTCCGCGAGTAAACAATGTATAAAAGATAATAAACTGAAGGATATCGACGTATTGTTTTGTAACAGTAGAAGGAACTACTTCAATGAGGATAGACCGCTATTTAATGTAGTCTTCCGAGATCATTGTGTCCCTGGAGCGAGTTCTGAATTGGCCCTAATTTAGAAGTTAACGTCAAAAAAACACCGTCTCCAAACAAGATGTGTTGACATTGCTTAATTAATTCTTTTTATTCTCGGAAAATGTTGCAACGAGACGAGACTACATGAGTCGCGGGAAAAAAAGGAGGATCGCATAAGAAAAAAACGAAAGAAAGAAAGAATCATGACACTATATATAATATTCTGAAAGTCAAAAATGGAAAAAAAAAATGGATTTGGCATTAAGTTAGCATGCTTCTTTTGGTTATTTTAACTTTTAATAATAAACTTTTCATCAAAATAATTATGACCAATTTGCCGAGAAACTTGACAATATCGACTGGTCTGTGATACGTTGACATCACTGTCCATTGAATGGAGGGACTTGTTTTTAATCTAAGAGAGATAAAAATTATGTGTTGAGTGTTGGTAACAAAGGCAATTTCGAAAAAAACATATCAGCGGGTTTTCAAGATGAAAGTAGGGAAAATGGCATCCTAAAACCCCACGTGTTTTACGAGTTGTCTGTATGAGTTTTTACCTTCTCGAGAGTATTTCATTTGTGTGGCCTTTGTTTAGAGTCTCGTGTTTCAAGGACCAAATAATCATCATTTTGTTCAAAGATTGTAAAACACCGGCAGATGGTTGGATCCGAAGCCGTTGTTACTTTGTTAATGGAACATGGTGGTATTATGTTGCTAACGGACTGTAAACGTTTTAAAGGAACGAGAATTGAATGGAAGAAATTTCTAGAAAAGTACTTAAAAAGCCAGTTGACCAAATAGAATTGTTCGCAGAAAGTTTGCGCCAACCGATATCAGGACAAATTTGAAAATAATTCTTTCTAAATTCTAGTTTACTCTTTCCATTCGTTTCTTTTAATTATCAAAATAAAGTCGATACATTTCCATTGTTGCGTTAAAACTTGAAACAGTGAAAGATAACATATTAACTAGGACTTGAGTATACATATGTGCTTGCCATTTTGAATATGGGAAGAGGGCAAGATTAATTCAGATAAAACCCGGATGGAAAAAAAAGGCATGCTTGGTTTGGTTTGGATGTGAAGAGAACCAAAAAGCCTATAACTTTAACTTTTGAAGACAAAACTAAGTTGGCCATATTAATCTGTAAATATTACAGCGGTATTTACGAAAAAGTGATTAGTAGTAAATTAAAATGACAATCACTTGCAAATACTTCGATGTCAACAATAAAATAGTTAGTCCATAGTGGTTATCTCAAGCAAGAATTGGATTACGTTCGACAGATTCGTGACAAACTTGAAGCAACAAGTAATAAATTACAGACTTCCGTCCGCGCAAAAACAAAACCCGAGTGGAAATTCTCAGTAAAACATACATTATTTTATTCGTACAGTTAAGTAAGTGGAATTTTCTATTTAACGATTTCAATTAGCTGATCTTAAAATTGCTAGTCTACTGTGTAAAGGGCCGTTACAATAAAAAAGACCTTTTGACTTCTTTAAGGTCATTTTCAAGCCATAACAAATATACTACTGGTACAATTCCAGCTAGAAATAACCACAGAGAGGTATTACTTTATTATTCTTATTCTTATTCTTATTCTTATTATTATTATTATTATTATTATTATTACATTTATTATTTTTATTGCAAAAGTCTCATAAAAAAAAACTGCGTAACACATAGGGATCATACCAAGTTAGGGAAGAATAAATAGTTTATGAACTTCTTTTGAAAGATTTCAGCAAATGATTATTTTTATTCAATTTATTACCCATGTTCTAGTGCTTGATTTAAGATTAATGCCTGATTTGTCAAAAAAGGCATTGTAATGCGGAAAATTCTCCCAGTTTTTTGACGGTGTAAAGTCCACCAAATTTATGATGGTACACCTGCTATTGCACAAAATGTCATCTAAACGACAAAAAAGAAAATGATTCATTCGAGAACGTGTAGGAGGTGTAGGAATATGATTAGGCACGAAACTTCAGGTCGAGTTTTACTCCACCTTTTTTTACCCCGGCATCCTTAAAAAGAAATAAAAATAAAACTAGCATTTCGACAGTTTTTACAGTTGGATAGTTTTATGGTTTGAAGACAAAGCCAATGATAAACGATTTTTCTCTGAAATGTCAAAAAGGATTCCGTGTAGGTTCGAAGGTAATCATTCAAACAACAATATAAACAACTTTCAGTCATTTGGAGAAATAATTTTGTCGTTATGAGCCAGGGAATGGAATATTCTTCGGCACGTGATTAAGGCGTTTTTCAAAACGCGGAAGCAATTATACGCCACACAGCCAATGTAGTTCAAGTCTGTTACACTGTGAGTAATTAAAGTGCATAATAACCTGTTACAAATTGTAATATCATTATTCTGTTTTGATATCGAGCTCATTGTCTTGTCGCCCTGGTCGGTGTTAATAAATTTTGCAATAGATTTTAACCACAGATATTAAATGGTTGATCTGCAACATTTTTCCTTTTTTGGTTGATAGCGCGAGGAGACCAATTTGAGGCGCTGAAGATTTTTACGGAATACAACGTAATATGAATTTTGAAATCTCGGTGTTTCCATTCTTGGGGGTACAATATCTGATTAACACTCTAAGCCAATAAGATTGCTTCGAGGTACAGCGAATATTCATAACAGCGGAAACACAACTTGCGATGAACAGATTTCCCCTTACCACCTTTAACGAATAGAGGAAGTGTATGCACTGTAAAATTTAACACCATTCAAACCATGACTTAAAGTTGATTTCTACTCCAACGCAGAAAAATGATGTAGTGCATTTAATTTAAGGCATCAACAAATCAACTCGTCACCCTTGATTTCTGATAGTAAAAGCAACTTTGCTCAACAATGAGATAGAAAACTAAACCACACCCAGATTACAAAACTTCCAAATCATATCCCTGACCTCAAAGATGGGTATAAACGATAATTTCCCGCACTCGCATTGTTTTGGAAAATGCTTTAAATTGTTACATAATACCTTGAACACATTGCGATTCTAAGTAAGCTAAATAGAAACGAAATTATTGTTTAAAACTGAATCAGCTCAAAAACCACAAACATCTAAAAGCTCTCAAACTGTTAAAGCTAGGAATGAATTTAATCTATAGAATTAAAACAAGCGATTTATTTCATTCTTCTTTATAATGTCAGGCACTGGGTTTAAAAAACGCTTTTACATATCTGGGAAATAACGTCGGATTGGAAATTGAACAGTTCCAAAACCTACGGATCGGATCTGGGCCGGGAAACTCGCGCTTCCAGGAATACAAATGCATCACTTTAATTTCTATTTCTACCTTCTAATTCAGCCCCTGACCTAAACACTTAAATGGCGTTGATTCAGATCCTACCACAACCGAACATAGCAACAGTTCATTCCATATTGTTTAAATCTCGCCCATAAAAGCGCTAATGTGTAGATGGAAAAAATAAAGCGTTCTTTGTCATTGTTATTTTCACTGAACAGGAACGACACATGCCCTGGGCGACCCATGACGTGTGAAAATAAACTTTACCAAGCTCTCACTATGCATTCGTTAATACTCACCCATGTAATTTGGCGCAGTTGTTTTTTCCCCGCCTAATTTTCTTCCCAAGCCCCCAGTGGCGGCGTCAAATGCCACAGCAAGATAGGAGAATTGACGCGAAGAGGAGATGAATGGCCTCGTCTAGGGTGTATGAAAGAGGAGAAAGAAGAAATGACTGGACATTTTTTTTTTTTACCGGTAAACAATCAAAAAGCTGATAAAAAAAAAATCATAAAGCGAAACAGTTGCGGCTAAATAACTCAATGGGTAAACAGAGAGGAGAAAAAGAATGGCAACATTCTTTTTCCCCTGAAAAGAAAAATTAACTAAGGCCAACTACCTGCCACAGTTAATTAAGATTTAAGAGGTCCGGGAACGGTGAGAGTCCGTAAATTCCGTTTTTCTGCTCTGTTTATTTTTGACTTGTTAATAATTTTTTAAGCTATTGACACAGAAACGAACACGTAATTAAGAACATGTTTTCGTTCTCTTTAGAGGCATCAACTGCAAACAACAAGGAATCGAAATACGGTATTGAAGGTTTCAAGCTTTGCCAATATTACCCGGCTCCATCAGTAGAAAGAGAAAAGGAAGTAAAAGAATTTAACTTTCATTGTGGCAGAGAATAGCAAATATTAAATATTAGCCTTGAAAAAGCCACCTGCGCCGGACGGCTATGATATTCAATTGAAAAAGGTAATAACGTCTAGCAGGATATGAAGTGCAATTAAATTTTATTGAAAGGATTGTAAGGTGACTAGGAAAAATATTGCAAGAAAACAAAATAATTTCCGAATAATTATTCCGTGGCTAGTTTGAATGGGGAGTAAAAAGATTACGATTTAACAAGATCTAGAAGATTTTTGCGAAATTTTGCGACTTTTGCTGAAAGTGCTATATATTAAAGGAGACGAATTTTCCAGGATTTTAACATACTCTTGAAAAATAAGGGTAATAATCTAGAAATGCCGTGCTGGTCCGGGTAGGAATCCTTTTCAAAAATAAGCTAAAACACGTGCGTTTTTTATCCCGCTCAATTATATTAATTATGAAGAAGGTTTATGGACTTAGCTATTTGGCTTCAAAGCTTGGATATTTAACGACATTTTAAGTTATTAACTGTGGGATATTGAGAACATTTTGTTAGCCGTGGGAAACTAAACGACTTAGTTTTAAACAACAAAATAATAAAGCATTGCCCGATAGGAGGTCAGACATAACTGTGGGTCAAAAGGCAGATTCTGTCTTTATGAACCAATCTTACCGACGTTAAGATAATTTGCTATTTATTTCTCAGGGAATGGCATACTTTCAGCACATTTGGCGCCGCGCTATTGTAAAACTCACAATGTGCAGTTCCTAGGTTCGATGTCCGGAATGTTTTGACATATGTAAGTCTTTGAAAATTCCCCCAGCCATCTTTATGCTTATTAAGGTAACTACCTGTGTGTCTTTTTATGGTTAATTAATAAGGATAAAAATATCAAAAGTGCGGTGATTTTTCTAACGAAAGTAAGAATAATTACGTGGAAGACTTAGAAATATTTTCCACGTGATTTGATGGGAATGCCATTTATCAAGAACCATCTCTGCTAAGTACAGTCGACTCCCGATAACTCGAACTTTCTAGGGAAATCGAACCAAGTTCGAGTTATCGGGAGTTCGAAGCAAATAACCGGAAGTCAGCAAATAAGCAAAAAGATGAGGAGGAATGCAACCATCATACACACTTCACAGGGATGGACTGACTGAATTTGAACAAAAGTAACGACAAAGTTTTGGAATATAAATTCAGTGCTTCGGACTTCTGTACAGTGGTTCACTATTTTTTTCCGTTTTGTCACGTGCTTAAAACATGGTTCGCGTCATCGAGGGTAAAATTGTATAGAAATAATCTGAAGTAAAACAAAAATTACTTCGAGTTAGCGGGAGGTTCGAGTCATCGAGGGTTCTGGTTACGAAGGGTAGTATTAAAGTAAATGTATGAAGGAAATCCAGGGAAAATCGACTTTGGTTCGAGTTAGCGCGAAGTTCGAGTTAGTTCGAGGTTCGAGTTATCGGGAGTCAACAGTATTTCCAATTTTGTCTGATGGTTACGTCAGAAAGATAAAGTTAAAAATTAAACGCTTTGCTGTGTGAATGCAACAAGGCCTATCCGGTCGATTGGTTGTAAACCACCAATTGAAAATTGAATTGCTGCTTAATAGTTAAAACTGAGTACAGCTAGCGGGAACTGCGAAACTAGACTGTATCGATACTAAACATTTCTTATTTGACTCATTATATAAACATAATTTTATTCTCATGCAAGCACCAGGAATAACTGCCTGTTTTTTTTTTCGTTAGTACAGCAAAGTTCTTGATCACCAAAAAAGCGCAGGCCAATTAAGAATAGTCTATTTTACACCAGAAAAAGCCATGCCTCGCTTATCTAGTTAATTAAAAATAATTGTGTAACACAGCTTTATATTAAGTTTTAAATGAATTTTGTATCTTTTTTCTCGTATTTTGTCGCCTTTTCAAAAACTTAGCAGACTTTAAGAAAAATCAAGGTTTTAACCGATCACAGATTTGTTTTGTCTGCTGAATAGTCTTTTTTGAAACTCGCTAACCTTTCAAACAACCCAATGAATGTGCTACAGGAGTTTTTATTCTGAAGATTATCAATTGACTAGTTTTATAAAATGCAAGCTGGAGGAAATCAAGTTTCTATAGTGGTTAAGTTGAACCAGTTGCTCTCTTTCATCCGTCGACGAAATAATCCGAAGAGTCCTGTAACGAATTAGCCGATGGGTTAACAAAGAATTAATATTCAAGAACACAAAACTTTCTGCCAAACAATTGTGTTTTTATCTGCATGACAAAAGATTAGGAAACCTAGAAAATTAGTTCCGCGTGACCAATGTTTAAAGGCATAATGACTCTGTCTTCAACATAGCCCAGGAGTGCCATGAAATAAAAGATCACAAAACAAGTTTGCAAATAATAAGTATTATGTCTGTGAAAGTGTTAGCAATAGGAAAAACAAGAAGAAAAATGAAAGGTTCATTGTATTTTGGTTTCATTCAAGAGGTCTTCTATAGTATCAAAAAAAAACTAACTGAATAAATCACGAGGGTCGATCGAATGTATTTCAACTTTATCTTAATTGCTTTCATCACTTCATAAATAAATCATAAATAAACTCAGTTGCAAGCTTTTAAAATCAAAAGTGATGAGGGGTCTACAGAAAAGCAGAAAGGCTTGAAGTAGTAGAATCTCTTCAAAGGACTTACTTTATGTTGAATGCTTGTTTAACAATTGTATCATACATCATAGAATAACGATATTTTTAAAATACATTATAGGCGTGAAAAAAATGTGATCATTGGAGAATTCTTTGCCACTAGCGTTATTGCCCTCCTGTGAAAGAAGTTTTTGCTTAATACACTTTTTTAAAAAGAGCATATTGCTCTACACCTTTTGTCTTTTGGTCAACGCTGCAGCTCCATATTTTTGGACAGTGAAATGACAGAAAATTGACTACCCCGCTAGTGTTCCATGACTAATGTGCCATGTGATTTGGTTTGAATAGTTTGAATTAGAAAAGCAACAACAATAGGAGAAACTATGGATTTGTTAAGACCTCGTTAGTCCTAGCTTTTTAAACCAAAAATAAAATTCAAAACATTTTTGAGTCAGTTTAACTTCGACATAGAAAATCGAACAGTGGTACAACAGTTGTAGTCTGTTTGATTTCGTTTTGTATTACTTTTTTAACTTTGACTTCGAAGAAGCTGGAATGGTGGTTTCAACCTGTTAAACACTTAAAGCACTCTTCTTACAAAAGTCAACTATACTTGGTTGTGTAATAAACGCGTTCAGAATTTCCTTATATTATCATATAAGAGTTTGTTTTTCACTCATTTTCCTGCGTATATGAAAAATATGTTTTCACTCCGCTCCTCTTCCGTGATCTTCGAGGCAACTACATTCTCTAAGCTATCACTTGGTAAACCTAAAACAACTAGCTACCTATGGTCTTATCTCCTTTTCTTACTTTTCAGCTAAGCAGTTGAATGCACTGCCTGACTCGACTTTTTTCGCACTAGTGTTTTTGGAGATTTTAAGACCGAAATACGGGGTGTTACCTGGTTTATGCAGATTCTTTATACTTTCATATCATTATATTTAACCTTTTTCCTACTGAGTTCTTTCTTTCATTCATTCTGCGGGTTAATTAAAAAAAATAGATAAGGTTTAAAATATTAGTTTCTTTTATGTGTAGACATAATTTTTTTCTTGTAATGTATTCTAATGTATTGTGCTTGAAGATATTAGCTTGCAAGCTACTAAAAAAAATTCGAGTGTAAATTGTAAAGTTTAGCCTCGTTCGCAGGCTTCACTGTCCCTTACAGAACGAGTGGGAGAATGGGAGAGAACGGAGAGGGACATTGATGCCTGCCAAGTATTGACACGGTGATGACCTTCTGCAAATGTTGGCTCGCGCATACAAATCTAATTTGTGTACGGGATAGGGGGAATTTTGAGAGACAAAAGCCGTTTACCGGGACCTACAAGAGTTTGTTCCTTTGTGAAAATGGCTTGAGAAGCCTCCAACCGTACGCACATGTATGCTTATGTGTGTTGATGACGCGGGCGATGGATTGCAAAAACTAAAGCCAAGGCGTCATACAAGGATAAAAGAATAAGCAAACATTGTAGAGAGCTACCAAAAAAAATTATGTGTGTTGATGTACAGCGCGATCCAATTATGCAAAACCAAACAATAAACTTAGCAACAGTTAAAACTTAAGCAAAAAGTGATTTTACTTTAACCGTGAAACTGGTATACTACGCACTATAGAGAGAGTCCTTATTTTTACGTCGGTAGCTCGAAGTAGTCATCTGGCAAACAAATCTGAGGCCGACGGTACGTTCATTTTCTTAGGGGACTTGACTTGTAATAATGTCTGACGAAAACCCCCAGGGGACCCCGGGTCCAGTCACTGGTCCACGAGGGTGAAGGACGCTGTCCACACTCTTCGATTTTTGGCAGGAAATTCCACGACATTTTTTGCTACCGTTCTCGTCCTCAGGTGTGACCAGAGTTACCTGCGGAGGAAGCTACATAAAGTTTATGTAACCACTATTCAAGGTCAAAGTTAAAAAAAAAAAAAATTCGAAAGAAATAAGACTTAAAGGATCGGAGATGTGTGACAAAATTTATCGAGACTGAAACAACAAGTACTGCCACCAAATTAAGTGAAACGTTAAAATAACCGCTGAAAACGTTAAAAAGGTATATATAACACAGCACATGAAACTGAAGGCACGGATGGACAAACTCGAAGAAGATTAAAACAGATTACAATTGCGGTTTGAGAAAATTTGTTAGCCTTACAGCTTTTCAAAGTTTATTTTTGTTGTTTGTTACCCGGGGAGGCCTTAGTATGGTGGTGAAATGACTTTGTTTACCCACTTGATAAAACCACATTCTGGTTACTAGTCTTATGTGCAGACATGCGGTCTACTTCCGCTAAAACTAAAACGTCGAGCTTTCCTGCGATCACGGAATTCCAGAAGCTTGGTTCTGGGTTTCAAATATAACTCTCATTTTTTAGTACGTGCAAATACACTAGGTTGAGAAGCTAATGCACAGCAGTACAGCTTTGAGCTGAACAAAAGCACGGTTAGAACATCAGGGAGCCAAGATCAAAACGTTACTGGTCTGATTAACAGAAGTGCAGTCTCCTTTCGCCATTACTAAAAAGTAGAACTTTTCCTGTGTTTAAGGAATTCTCAAAGGATGGCCATGGATTCCAAATAAAACTCGAACCTTGTTTGGGCTTAATAGTACGGCAGCGTGACAGGCAAATGCACTGGGTATGCAAATTGTTGAGAAGCTAATGCACAGCAGTACAGCTTTGAGCTGAATAAAAACACGGTTAAAACATCAGGGAGCCACGAGCCGTAGTTACTAGTCTGATGAACAGACGTGCAGTCTCCTTTCGCCAATACTAATAATTAACAGAACTTTACATGCGATTAAGTAATTCTCAAAGGATGGCTCTGGATTCGAAATAAATCTCAATCATTTTTTTTGGCGTAATTTGTACGGTAGCGTGGCATGCAAATGTACTAGGTATGCAAATTGCTGAGAAGCTAATGCACAGCAGTACAGCTTTGTGCTGAATAAAAGCACTGTTAAAACACCAGGGAGCCCCAAACACTGCTAGGCACTTAACAGACAGAAGCACATGCATGAAAAATAGTAGAGCCCCAACCAAGCAAGCCCCTTTTCAACTAAGGCTCCGCCTAAAGCGAACGGTTCTTCGCCACACCTAAAATGAGCCCCCCGCTTTCACTACGCTAAGAGCTTCCATTTGAATAGTCATGATCACAAGGGATTTCACCCACAGACTCAAACGTTAGGACTGCATACTAAATAAATAGTTGCGTGTGAAACTAACGCTGAGGTTTCATTTGAATGGTCTGCACACCAAAGGATTTTATCCACAGACTCAGTAGTTAGAGCTGCACACTACGAATATTAATACAGTGCCATGTGATGGAGATACTCCTAAAGAACTGCATGAGCCATTCGTTTGTATGGTAACAACATGGAATTTCGACGACAGGTTAAACTCCGGCAAAACATCTCGCCATAACTTGGTTTACGAGTACATTTATTTTGAGTATTTTGGTTCAGACGCCACATTAGATTTTCACGTAAATCAACCATACTGAAAAACTAAAAATACAAACAAAAGAAGGAACAATATGGCCGAGAATTTAAAAAAATGATGCAAATAAGAAAAGAGCAATAATTCGCCTCAGTCTTTTAATTCATAAAAGATGTATCTATTGATTTGCGAGAACAGTCGTTTGTTTTCGTTCCGGGTGTAACCTACCATAAATTTGCAGGCAAAACTCAGGTATATGCACCTGTCAATCCACTGTTTCTGATCACCAATTTTCTTCGATCGATTATCACACCATGGTGCGAATTACTTTTCACTTGGTGTATGCAAAATCAAATTAAAGAACCAATTAATATGAATTTCTATTTTAATAACCAGACAAAGAACAATAACGAAAGCTAAGGAGTCATTTTTTCCGCCTCCTTTGCACTTGGTTTGGATTAATAAGAAGGAGTTCACGCTTTTTTTTCTCAATCTAAAGTTATTTGTTACAGAATTGACAAGCTTATGACCTTGTTAAGTACTAGTTCAGCTATGTTTGCCAAGGGGATTATCCTCTTATATGGTATGACTGAAACATCGATGGCATGACTCAGTGAGTAAAACAGTTCCAAATGAAAAGAAAAGAAAATTTGTCAAAAAAAACCCCAGCTGTTAAATGCTCTCAATAATTGCCATATACTTCCACGCTTTCTAGATTAGCTTTAAGCTTCTGGCTTTAAAGTTTGACTTTCAAGAAAAAAAATTAAAATGAAGAAAGAAAATGTTAAGTGAATGAAAAAGATGTACAAAGGGCATCACCCATAATCTAAATCGTTAGAATAAGCGTTTTGGCAAACATTGCCCCGAAAAATTCATTATTTGTGCAAGCACTTTAGATTTCTCTTTTTACCGGAACCGAACACGGCTGGCTCCTATTTTTTTTTTACCTGTTACTGAGATTTACGTGCGCAAAAGCGGCTAGTGCTCACAAATGTTGAAAATATATGAATTTCACATAACCGTGTCGAGATTAACAATGACAAAAGGAAGAATTAACGTAAACAAGATTTGCGTGGGAATATTTTAGACTTTATAGAAGCTGTAAAACATACGATCAGAATCAGCCAATCCTGTCAACATGTGTTACATTTCGCAAGTATATCTGAGCTGAAAAACGCAGTTTTTAAATGACAAAATAAAATGTTATGAGAATATAACAACCCTATATGCTTCGTTGACAATGAAAAGTAATCTTCTTTCGGTAAACCATGTTAGTAAAAACCTCTACCGATAAAGTTCATATACAATCTATGACTGGTTTTCAGTGTCACGCCATTCAAAATAGATCAAAATAAAAATCAAAACCGTTCAATAGATAAAGTCCAGAATCTGGGAAATGAAAGGAGGTAAATATGCAAAGACCCTCGCCAAGATTCAGGTCAGAGGAATATTTCGTATACGAGATATCCGAAGAAATGTTTTCAGAAAATTAATAGAGATTTGTATGCAGACGCCATGCTGGTGACCATCCGGATGAGCAAACATCTGTTGCCAAGTTTTGCTACAAAAGCATGAATTTATTCTTCGAGGAACTCATAAACATTAAAGTAATACTTTTTCTAATACATGAACTGTTTAGATAGCAAAATGTCCTGAAATAAGTCATTTGTTTAACATACATGACAGCTCTCTCGGCTGTCATGTAAATGCCGCGTCATGTAAAAGCTTAGAAATTCAAGCGTACTCTAACACAAAACCAAGAACCCTTTTGAAGCGAAAATTTGTATGAAAATTAGCTCTCAGCTGCTCTAATACATCGTGAAAGTAAAATATCGGTTCTAACGATAGTTTTGTAGTTCGAATTTTAATGACGTCATATGAAAACCAACAATAGTCAAACGTCTACTAATGGTCACTTACAGTATTGTCTCGACTAACAGAGCATTGTTAACCTCTATATGACGCCGGGCCATTTTTCCACAACTGCCATGGCAACAACCACTAAACTGCATCCATGGGTCACAAAAATCGTCCTCACAACTTTAATCTGACAGCGAACGAGAAAAAGGGGGCGGACATGGGGTGGGGAAGGGGAGGGAACGGACAGAAAGAAGATAGAACCTAGAACCTTTTCTCCCCCCCCCCCCCTTACCTCATCTGACCTTCTCCGACGCTTCCCCTAAGGGTCGCTAATTTTACTCTCCCTAATCGTCATCTTTTATAAAATCAAATATGGCGACAATACTAACAAGCAGCTTTCTTCTGCCAATGCAGGAGTATCACAACAGCGTTTTTCTTCCAAATCTCGCCAAGATTTCATTCACTCAAACAATGGATCCATGGGTCTTAGTCATTGGTTCAAGAAATCTGTGAGAATTTTTGGATGATTTTTCGAATGGTTTTATTAATGGATGATAATTAGGGAAGGGGGTGTTTAAATTTATGGAAAGTTGTAAATGTAAAATTTTTTAAGCTGGCGAAGGCAAGCGTGAAGTGAGCGAGAAGCGCCAGACGTGCGCGAAATATCTTTTTCCTGCGCCTTTCCCGCCGCGCGTTCACAAGCAAGGTTGTACACTTGGCCTCATTTTGAAAGTGAGGGGTTTTGATACTCGGAAGTGGCCTATCAAGTTTTCTTTTCAGTGGTGAAGCGAAGTACGACTTAAAATTGTACTGAACGGTCATTCATCGAACACACCAACTGATCGGCCTTTAAAATGTAAGTAAAAGACTTTATGGGTTATTGATGGAGTGATATAGTTTGCGTGGAAGGGATTCAAAGAATGGAAAAAAAGAGAAGTCCCGCACCCAAGAACCCAAAAAGGTGCGCGTCCCGCGCCATGGATCCCTTTCGCTCTTTTTATGTCCAGGGTTGAAAGCTGTGGCAAAAATTCGCTGGCAAAATCAGTGTTGATAAATATTTCAGAAAAAACAAAAAACCACAGCAACAACAAGAACAAAAACAAAAACATTGCCATTACGTTTTGAAGTGAACCGGCCTTCCAGAATGGCTGATGAGAAGATTAAAAGCCCGGGAGGGGGACTTCGCATATGAAATGGGTGGGGATGCTCGTCGGCTCGCTTAGGGGTGTAAATTTCGGATTTTGGTCTCACTTAGGGTGTTCTGGGCAAAACGCCATCATATTTAGCCGTGAAGGTCTCGTTTAGGGTTGCACGCGAAAAAAACACAAAAATATATATTTGATATGTATATTTTTAATGCGTTTTATTTACTCCATTCATATAACCCAAGTTTTCTCATTTGTCTGTGTTTTAACATGGTCTCTTTTAGGGGTCAAAAAAAGTTTGGGCCACGCCCAGATCGGTCTCCTTTAGGGGTTTAATTCAAAATTTCCGACGAGCATCCCCACCCCTTTCATATGCGGAGTCC